ACACACACACACACACACACACACACACACACACACACACACACACAAGAATAACCACATAGAAGAACATGAAACTACAATGAAAACAAAGTAGTCATGAAATGTCATACAAAAGTCATGCCGAAATGCCGGCGAAGTCACATATAGGAGTCCAATATGAAATACATGTCGCATGGTACAATGTGTCGTCGACACTCGTGCCGAGTCGTACGGGGCCGTACAGCGATGGGATGGAGCCTACACCGCGAACTAACAAAGCTGAAAAGAAAACCCTAACAAACATCTACGTAATACGACAAGTCAGAATGAAGTCCCACCTCTAACAAAAACCCAATAACTAAAAAACAATATGAAAATGCCGTACATAAACCGAAAAACAAAACAAACAAACACTCTCGACAACACTACCTGCATGCTGAAGTCCATGAACTGGTCCGAAGTCCCTAAAAACTAACTACATCCTAAACAATATACAAAAACGTCAAAACACTGAGCACAAACAACATAAAGGCATCGTGGAAGGGGAACGAAGCTGTCAATACCGTCGACTTCCCTTCCCCTTATCACTGCCACTCTGCCTCGCCCCACTCGTGCTGCGTGTCGATGAAACACTCCCTCGCCCCGACGCTGTCGCAACGGATGACCCTTGCCTCCTCCGACTCCTCGTCTCCCGCTGCCCTGGAGGGGACGGGTCGTCGACGTCATCATGTCGTCTACGAGAGCCACGTCGTCTACGAGAACCATGCCGCGGTGGAGGGGAGGGCTCGTCGTCGTCGTCATGGTAGCTGTCATCATCCCCGCTGTCGCTCTCCTCCTCCTCACGCTCCTTGTCGTCCCTATACTCGTCACCCTTCTGTGGGGCCTCCTCACATGCAGGCTCCGTCTCGGGATCGTCCTCCACCACGGTCACAGGGTCATCCCCCATCCTCACCCGAACAAGCCTAGCACTCACCTGAGTCACCTCTGCGACTGTCTTCTCACGACGAGAACAGCGCGGCATCCCCAACCCCTCGGCTCCAGAAGACTCCTCCAATGCGGCACCCCCCGTGGCAGGCATGGGATGCGGACGAGCTACTCCGCTCGTGCGAGAAGTCTGGTCACGCACAGCACGTGCTGCTGCTGCCAAAGCGGCCTGCAAGGTTCACCCGGCCTGTCCAACCCCACGAACATCTCGCGGCTGAGATACTGCCGCCATGACCTCCCTCGGCGCACCCCTCCTGGTGTCTACCCCACCCAAACCTGGCTGCTGTCGTGCAGTGTGCACTGTGACCCGACGCACGGACTCCAGGTCCATATTCGTCCTCCCGAATAGCGACGTGTCAAGAGGGAGGCTCCGTATGACCGTCGTGTCACGAACCCTAGGTCTGGTGGGCGTGGATGGTGAACGGGGGGGGCGACCGACTGGTGTCGAGGGGGAATCGCTGTGACGTGATCTCGGAGGAGGAGGCGGCATAAGTGGTCTGCTAGGGTCGGTGTCCTCCTGCCATGTCACGTCACGCACAGCAGCCCATGCGAGCTCCGCGAAATCCAATAGGCGAGTTGTATCCTGAGGAGCTCGCCGCCCAGTAACCGTTGTATGAAGCGCTGGCTCAGATCCTAAATCCACGACTATGAGCGGTGGTACCTGAACAAATGCCACCTCCCCAGGATCTGACCCTTGCACACACGGTCGAACTGGCTGCATCGTCGTCGTCATCCGCATGCCCGTGAACGGTACCAACGAACTGCTACCTCCGGGGATATCTGCAGCGGGTGCATCCTCACGCTCCGCCTGTGGCTGCTCTACTACCTCCTTGCACCCCTGCTGAAACGTGTCTGTCTCTCTCCCGGAGCGTCCTGCAAATGCCTGCTCGATCTCCTCTGTGGAGTACCCAGCGGCCGCTAGGGCACGCGCCACATCCTCTCTGTCTGAGTGGCTAGAGCTGTGAGGATCCCCCAAAGACATGTCCATGAAATCCCCCATCCCCAGCCCTGACGCCCCCCTCTGTCCTGATGGCGACGCCCCCAGTGCCCTCCTCGTGCCCGGGGTCAAACCCGCTAGTGCGGGACCTATCTCGTCATCGATGAAACGCTGGACAATCGGGTCAAGGTCGTCACCTCCCTCTCCTCTACCATGGGCGACGTCCCCCCCTACCACACCCTCCTCTCCCCCAACCAACGCAGCAGCATCTGCCCTCACCGTATCCTCCTCCATCTCAACCTGGGCATCACCATCATCTACCCCTGCCACACCCTCCTCTCTCTCAACCTGCGTCCTCGCCACATCGTGCTCCCTCTCAACCTGCGTCCTCGCCACATCGTGCTCCCTCTCAACCTCCGATGGCAGCACGCCCTCCACTCCCTCAACCTGCTCACCATCATCAACCCTCACCATGACCTCCTCTCTCTCGACGTGCGCACCATCATCTACCGCCACCACGCCCCCCACTGCTCCAGCTACCTCCTCCTCCATACCCCAAATACCCTCAACTCCGCCCGCTCCGGAGGCTCCGTGCTCCTCCGCTCGTCTCTCCCTCTCCTCCACCGGTGGTGCCCCGCTATGAACACCCATCTCCCCCAAGTCGCTCGATGCACGCGGGTCCAAAACGAGCTGACGGGCTACGCTAAACAATGATCCATGCCCGCGGATGCGCAACGAGGATCCCAAGTCCTCCCTCCCAACCGGTGCAAGTGAGCGCTCGTCATGCCGAACGAGAGCGGTCGGAGCGGATGCTGGGATAGAATGAAGCGAAAGAGGCGACTGTGACGAGGGTGCGGACTGCGTCACAGGAATACTCGTCTGCTCTCGCGTGGTCGTGGTAGCAGGCGTCTGCTCCTGCACGGTCGACGAAACAGTCGTCCGCTCCTGTGCTGTCGTGGTAGGACCCGGCTCCTCACTCGCAGTCATGGGAGCAGGCGTCTTCTCCCGCAAGGTCGTGCGAGGACGCGTATCCTCCCGCACGGTAGTAGGTGATCTCTCCTCCATGCCCCCGAAAGATCTCCAAAACTCCTCGCCCCCCGATCATATCCATGTCTCGCTGCTCTGCCGCCCTCCACACGGTGTGCGTCCTCTCGTCACGCACGTCGCCCTCCTCGTGCAACTCATCAGTCTCACATGGGATGGGAAGCATGGTGTCGCCCTCTGCTTCCGACTCCCTCTCGTCCGCAGAGTCATCGTCCCTGGGGTATGGGCGGATGATAGTCACACGAACACTGAAAACAGACTCAACAGGGGGCAGCGCAGAAGCCCCAATGGGATCGCGCACAATGAGGGCAGCCTGCTCCTCGATCTCCTCCTCCGTCATCCCACTCCTCGTCCCCGAGCACACAGGTTCCACGTCCAATCCCGCCTGAGCGTCAAGCATGCCCTTGTCTCGCTGCCAAGGGAGGACGTATCCACAACCTGCACGTCTATACTCCATCAACCGCACATTTGCGGTGATCTCAACAAGATGAACGACCTTCTCGAAGGCCAACTGATTACGCTTCTTCGTATGGATGCCCTCGTGGACCGCCCAGTTCCTCTCCGCTGGAGAGGTGCAGGGCCACATGTGCATCAAACAAAAAGCGCAATGCTGTAAATCAGGCGCGTCTCCCCTGTATTGAGACCACCACGATGCACACTCCAACATCTCACAGTCTCCGCTGCAACTACGCGCTCGAGCGAGGCCCTCTGCCCCGCCCCATGTCCCATACCTACCCTGCTGCATGTGAAAGTCCTCGAATTGCCGACATACCTCAAGGTAACGACCACCCGACTCGTCGTGGCCCGTCTGAGACAACAGATACCTCTTGGCTTGTCGAACAAGCCAAGTGTGGTACCCGTCGAGCTGCGAGGAGAAGTACTGAACATCCCGGCGACGGGGGTTCAGTAAGAATGCGGCGCAGTGTGCGGGCTCCATCATGTGCTGTATACGGGCCTGCACACGCCTCATGACACGGTCAGAAAAGGACTGGCCAAGAGGAATGCAAGCGTCCCGCACAAGGCGTGCAAGATCCCGAGTCCACTCTACAACGAGGGACATGAACTGTCCGCCACGGTCCATCCGCCTCAGCAAGTCCATGACAGGATCCATGACGTGCTTGATGGCACGCATCCTCTCCCACCAAGGGGACCACCTGATCTGTCGGCACACCCAACGCGCCATGTCGCGAACGTCGCGGGACCACGGGATCCTAGCCCTAGCCCGACCGTCCTCCCGTGTCATCATGCCCTGCAAACGATCCTGCAGAGCAAGCAGCCTCTCCAACATGGAGTACACGGACGCAAAGCGCGTCTCGCATGAAAGCACGAGCCCCAACGCCTCGCTCCGCTTATGAAAGAAGCTGAGAGCGGTCTGGTGGGTTTTGAAAAACACCACCAGAACTCGGACACGCGTGATCGCGTCCACGAAAGAGGTGCAGATCGTGCCAATGTCTGACAACAACTTGTTGCAGACATGGACGCAGCACGGGAGCCAAGTAATCCTCCTCAGCTGAGGGGGAATAGATGGCGAGGCCAAAGCCATCGCAGCCCCCACGTATGCAGAGGCGGAGTCAGTGCATATAGCATTGACCCGCTGTGGGCCACCAAATCTAAAACCGTGAAAGATGGCGACCCAATTCTGCAGGACGTGCACCGCATCGTCCGGCTCCCCCTTTCGGTTGATCGTCGTGTACGTGATGACCCCTCGAGACCCAGTTGCGGGGAAGTTCACGATCGGTCGCCCGTCTCGTGACTTCCTCCCGTCAGAGAGGAGGGTGGCGCCACTCATCCATAATGACTGCTTAAACTCCTCCAACTCCTCCGCCAACTCCTCGCGGTGGATCTCCACAGCTCGCATGCTTGCGATCTCATTGTGGGATGGAAGCACGAGAAGAGGTGCTCCACCAGGTTGCCGAAGAGCAACCTGCTGGAGGTCCCGATACGGCGTGTTGTGGAAGGCATTGAAGGCAATCCCGCTGGAATACAGCCAGCGAAAGAATGCCTTCCTCCACTGACCAATCCACTCGCCACCATACGTGTCCATCATTTTCTGCTGCCGCAGCCTCTTCCCTGCATTGGTGGCAGAAACATGTGCACCCCCCTCCTTCCTCTTCGAAGAACCCGGCGTGCATGCTCTATCAGGAACAACACTCTTCGAAGAACTCAGCGTGCATGTCATCTCAGGCAGGACGGGCTTCTTTCCGCAGTTCCGCTCCCAGTCCAGTGAGTCCACCGCCCTCTGACGAGCCATCGGATCGGAATTCGGCACGCCCCCCTCTCCCCTCGGTGTCCGCTCTCCCTCAGCCATGCCAACCTCTAGGTCAACGTCAGCCTCGTCCTCTGACGCGTTACCCGCACCCTCCCCATATCTCGCAACACCTCCCTCCGCATAACGCTCGGTATCCTCTCCCTCGCCCACGCCCTGTGCAGGACGCTCCGCCTCGCCACCCATCGCACCAGACCGCGGGACATCGAGACCACGCTCGTGTGCAAATCGCCACACCCTCTCTACCTGATCGGCCTTGAAGCGGTGTGTGCATTTCTGCACAATCTGGTACAATACATCATCGAACACCTTCTTGCAATAATTCTGTTGGGTGAAGTGTTTCGTTGCGTAGAATTGGGTTCCCTGAAACACCTTATTGCAGAAGGTGCACCGTAGCATATTAACCCGACTGTTGTCGACCTTTTGGCCAACAACAATGTAATGGTACACAACAGATTTGCGCCTATAATCCTTCTGAACATGTTCGGGCGCGGGCTCATGTTCGCGCGTCTGTTTTCACGGCATTGTGAACCCCTCTTAAAGCCGCACCCGTCCAGTCGTACGCGCCTCCCCTCCGACACCTCATGCCCAGCGGCGCCACAGAGAAGGCCGTATCCTCGGCCAGCCCCGTCCCAACCAGGTAACACCCGCCTTGTTTCTCCCACTTAGATTGAAAGCCCAATGCTCTACCAACTAAGCTATACACCCAGAATCCAGATAGGCTTAGTAGGATTTGAACCTACAATATCACCGTTATGAGCGGTGCGTTTGAACCAATTAAAGTATAAGCCCAGGAACTTGCTTCAGAAACAAAAAAACTAACTCAAGGGTGGTACCCGTAAGGCCGGAAAATTTCAAGCCT